TTTCATAAACATTGAGTATTTCAGTGATTTTTTCAATGAGGTCTGTATCTGATTCCTGGATATTGTTGATATTTGTGGTATTTGTTTCAATTCGGTTAACATATTGTAATTTCAGATTTTCTGTTTCTTCAAGTTTCATTGTGATTTCCGATTGCTCTAGTTTGTCTACTAGTTTTCGAAAATCTAAATCGGGCTCTCGAATTGAGGAGGGATGGGATGCTCTCTTTTTTTATTGCTATTTTCCTTAATTGAGGTGTTAAGGTCATCATTAAGATTTCTGTCATTTTTGTGTTTTTATAGTCGTGTGTATTTAATGAATATGCTTTTCGAACTAGTGTTTCGATACGTACTGCTAATTGTTTGATGGTTTCTTTTGGTAATCTGCGATTTTCATTACATAAAACTCTTTGTTGTTGTTTGTTTCTTTCGGAGTCAAACATTTTTGAAAATTCTTGTGTAAATCTTTTCCAATTTGATTTTATTTCTATAGGCAATACTGAAAACCATTTTTGGGCTGCGCCGTCTAAGGTGGTCTGTATCAACGCTGTGCGTCGATGTATCCAATTTTGATGTAGTGGCGTATTAATTGGTTCAGGTCCTATATTTAAAATTAAATTTGCTGTTACTGCATTTAAATAATCTTCTAGAGAATATTCAGGGTCTGTTCCTGTGAATACCATTAATGGTTTGTTTGATGTTATTGATGATCCACCCATAAGGTAGGGATTTATTGCCATTTGTAATGATTCTGCGGCATTTGGCATTTGTGAAAAATTTGAAAGTTGATTTTTTGTTATTTCGTGTTGTTGCAGGTAATATGGGAGTGGTATTTCATTTTACATTTGTGTTGGTTGATACGAGTGTGTAATCATTGGGTTTTGTGGCTGAATTGGTTGAAAAGATTGTGTATTAATTGGGTTTTGCATTTGTATTGGTTGTTGATTTTGTGTATCTATTGGGTGTGGAGAAAAAATTCTATGATATGTATGTGGTTTTTGTACTCTTTGTCCACGATATTCTTGAGTGTATGGTGCAAATATATCTGGTTGTAAATAATCATCATCAGAGGATAGATAATCCGTTTGATGAGGTGCTTGTTTTTTATTTTTATTCTGTTGAAAGAATGGGTAATTTTCACTACGATCCTGTGGAGGATGTGGATTAGTTTGAAAATTTACTGAGTTGGTTGTTGCCATTGGATTATCCCAATATTGAGATCTAATCTGATTATTATTATTTTTCCGTGGGGGATAGTTTGTTTTTGATGAATGTGCATAATTATAATTGTGTTCCGCAAAAGTGTTTCTTGTGAATGTTCTGCGTGCTTTTGACGGTATTGTCATGGGTCTATATGTTTGATAATCCATTTGTGAATATTTTGGAGCAACCGAAGGTTTAACGGTTGATTCTAAGGCTACCTGTGCTAGTGAAGTGTTTGTATTTCTTGGTGTTGTTAAATTTGGACGTATTGGTGAAATACTTTGTTGTGTAGTTGTTGTTGTTTGGACGATTTCTTCGTTTATGAAGTGTGATGGTGTCTGAATATCTTGTTGAGTGAGATTCCTAGTTCCATTAAGGTTTTCATTGTGTATGACGGTTGAATTTAAACTGTTATTTCGCGTGTCAGGTAAAAATTTATTGTAATTTAATGGTGTTGCATCAATGGTTAGTGGTACTACTCTTACATAATCTCTTGCATAAGATATTGTACTTATTGCTTGACTTGAGATTGATTGTGGGATATTTATGAATGCAAGATGAGACCATTCGGGGTCCCAAATGTAGTCTGATTGTTCTGTGATGGCGGTATCATCGTTTGAATTTTGAGGTCTGAAATTTTTTCTTGCTTGTGAAATTAGATCTTTATTATGTGTGAAATAATCTATTATAAACCATGCCAAAATTTTTTGTGAGTCATGTTTTGTATGTTGTGAAACTTCATCTTTAGTGAAATTTTCTTTAATTATATGTAGGAAAGTTGAAATTAGTGTGATTTCATGTCGTACCCTTATGTGTTTGGATGTCTCTGTCGGTGAGACATTTGAGATTGGGGTTTCGTTTTCTAATATTGAAATATAACTATATATTATTGCAAAAACTTCATTAGTAAATATGGAGTTTGCTCTTTGTGAGTTATGATACTGTATGCTTTTTATATATTCTAAGAATACTTTTGAAAATTCTAAGTCAAGATCGTCTGTTTGAATTACATATCTGCGGTGATTCGGGTTTGGTGTACTGAATTCTATGGTGTAGATTCCGTATTGTTGTGTTAAATTACATATATCTTTCAGATAGTGATCAATAATTTGTCTTTTGATTTTTACATCTGGGAACTCTGCTTTACATGGGCTGATTCCGGGTTCAAACAAATTTAGGAGGAAATTCTTGCAAAGATCATATTGTCCTCTATTATCGGGTGCATCTACGAGGAAGGGGTAGATATCGTCATCATCTGGACTATCTTCACTTGGAGTGTGTGTTTGGCTCATTTTTTCGTTTAATGACTGTTAATAGGTAATTATCGATGTGTCTAATTGGTTGATTCCAATTATACAAGTGTACCTTTTTGTGTTTATATTGCTTTTTTATTCTTCTTTTTCCTCTTTTCGATGAATTTGAAGTCGTTTCTGAGTCGGAAAAATATAATTGATCGTGAATGGGGCAATTTTTATCAATGGATTCTTTTAATTTATAAAGTTCGTCTAAACTGCTGGCTTCTGATTCTGAGAATGCGTTTCTATTTTTGGAAAATCTTTTTCGTGTTTTTTGTCTTTGTTTGGTTATTATTTTCTTTTTTAGTGTTTGTCGTTTTGTTCTAATATATCCAACTGTTTGTGTATGAGGTGTGATTAAAAGATCGTATTTTTTGTTATCTATTTCACAGTTGTGTAAAACGATTGTTTGTTTGTTTCCTAGATTTTTAAATGACATAAGGTTTAGGATGACGGATGCAAAAAATTGTTAGATGATTTCTATTTTCCTAAATTGTTAGTCCTTACGATTTTTTGGTTAGCTTAACCTGGGTCTATTTGTTCAGGGTTGGAGAGAAAAGTATATCGATTCCGAAGAATGATTTTTTACTTTCTCGTGGCTAGTATAAGCTAAGGTGTTAACTTACTTAATCTTACTTAGGGGTAGTGATTGTGTTCAAGGGTTGGAGAATAGTAAATCGATCCACAAGGTTCAGGTATAATTAGAACGCGAGTAGTTCGTTAGATACTATTTTAAACTTACAAAGTCTAAGATTTATCCTGGGTCTGATAAGAGGAGGGTTCAAGTGAAGGATGAATAACCGAAGTTCTTCACTGTTTATCCTAATTTGAATGATTAGTTTTGTTCAAAAATTTCTATTAGTCTTGGGTTTTTTGAAAGGGTTGGATAGTGAATCGACGTTTGAGGTCGTTAGACACTAGCTAAGTGGGTGGGGGAGAACAAAATTGTTCTTTTTGATCCAAGGATAGGCCTTGATGATCAAGTTTTAGATTTAATTAAATAGAAAATTAATTAAGATCCAAGGATAAGCCTTGATGATCTGATTTTAAAATTAAGTGAATTTAAGTTTAAAATGGTTTAAATTTGTTTAAGAAAAAGATTTAGTGTTTTAATGATATTAGTGAGCTTATGATTGCTGCTATGTTTTAGGTGATGAAGCTGGGACAACTGATGATTTTATGATTACTAACAGTTTATTGTCATGCTACTAATTTTTGTTTTGATTTTCAATAAATATTTTCCAAACATGTTTTATATAATACTGCAGAATTTTAGGAAAACGATCTGAGATCTTTTTATCAATCGTTATTGTATATTAATATTTTGTTTAGCGCCTGTAATGAGCATGAAGATTGGCTTCAAGATTTAGGTTTGCAAATGAAAATCTAAATTCATTGCTAATAAAATTCTAAATATAAAAGTTTGTGTTGGCTTTTGCCGTACTATCATATAACTATTTGGTAAGTTTCTTCTTTGTCGTATGTCGTCTCTGGTTCGAGGTCTTCTTCCAATTCCGGGTAGTTCTATTATCGTTCGGAATATTGGCTCTGATCTATTGAGTCGTAGAGACATTTCGATTAAATTATCGTCGTGTAACATTTTAAAAAATGTTTTGTCTAATTTCTAATCTATTTTTGGTTAATTCTAAGCTATTAGGGTCTTGTTCGAGACTTATGGTCGCACCAGATGAGTTATATTTTATTTGGTCTTAACTCATAGAGTAATTTCGGATAGGGTACACCGTCTGCTCGTCACGCTATCTTATTTTCGGCCGGATAGATTCGTGCAACTTCTTAGTCTAATACCGATCCTAATCTTACTCTTATACTATCTAGTCTCAGGTTGTTTAACTAGTCTCTGTTAGGCTCAATAGATCTAGGGTATACTGGTTTATTGCGGCTGCTGAAGTTCTCTTGGAGAGGCAACTAATTTCTAAGTTAAATTCAATTCTCTCTGGTGCTGAAATTACAAGTAATTTCAGCACTTACAAATAAGTGGGTTGTTAGTTTGATGGATCATGATTGGTTAATATTAAATACTTTGCAGTGGTAAAATATCTAATTTATCCAATCATAAAATGTAGTTTAGATCAGGTTCCAATCCGTCAGCCAAAATTGCACATCTGAAAATAGTATAAAGGGGGACCCTTTGGGTCGGCAGGGGTCGAATTAATTATTAAAGCTGCAAACGTTGTTCTTGGCTTTTTGGTAAAGAAAACAGGATTGTTGGATATAAAATATATCCCGTTTTGCTATTTTTCGAGGAAACAGTAGAAATTAACCTTTGAACATTACTTCAAAATATAGTTTTTGATTCATCATTATTTAGACTTGGATCAAAACTTATTCAACCTCCCTTTGAAATTGAACAAAACTTCAAGTAAATTTCAAACTTTAGTTTGGAAGAAGGTTTCTTTTTAGTTTTTTTTTCTTCAAAAAACCCCTCTGAAATTTTTTCTTTGCTTGTCAAAAACGTTTTCAGTTTTTCATTGTCTCCTATTTCAGTAACCCCCTGCTTGGTCTGTTCACCCAAGACGAGTACGACTGTTTCTACCCGGAAGAACAACTCCCGGTGGACAAACTGCTCAATGGGGACTTCCAACAGATCACAAGTGACTTCAAGGCGGCCATAGAGGAGAACTTACTAGAGACACTTGTGGGATATTTGCTGTCCAAAATATCCAACTTCACGTTAGTTGGTGTCAAAATTCAACTTTTTAAAATTAATTTTGCGGTTTATTAGCGTAATTTCATAGCGTTTTATTAACAGCATGAAAGAATCGCAACAAAAATTGAAGTTTTTGTTCCGACTTTCGATAAGAAAGTAACGGAATATTTATGCTCGGGGTGGGTTTTTTCTTCAGACAAATTTCGACTTTTTAACTAACCATTTTTGACGGAGTTTTTTATACCATTCGAAAGGTATTGTTGTCATGAGCTCAAATTTGAAAAGATATTTCACCTGTGATCATTTTTTGTGAAGTTATGAAGGTTTAAAGATTGCCATTTTGACCAATTTGGGACAATTAACGCGCGATATAATTCGCGCTATTAACGCGTAAGCGGAGATTTAATCCGTCTTATAAATCGTTCCAAATTGGATGAACGAAGCTAATGTGCCATAATTGATTTGTTACAAGGAACGAAATCTATAGTTTTGTACTTTTATATGGCGAGTGGGGGGGATGATTCTCATAAAAAATTTCAAATTTTACAAAAAATATTTTCACTTTGTTTTATTACATTTAATTTTTTAATTTTATTACTGCTCCATAAACCTTAAAAGGCAGTCGGAACATTTAGGGCTTCGCCCTGATACGAGCAGTCTTGATTATATTTATGCGAGTTTTTTTTTGGGGGGGTGTCGTGAGGGGAGGGGCTCTCAGGAATCCCACTTCCTAAGCAAATAAAAGGTCCCTCCTTTGGTACACCCCACTGTATTCGGAAGGCAAAAATTGCAAGAATCTTGCAAAAGTAAAAGCTAAATTTCGCAAGAAAAAAAGCCAAAATATCGTATTTTCTTTCTTAGATTTTTTGCAAGACATTTTGCAAGATTTACATTCCGAGAACATTCGAGTTTTTAACGAAATCCATTTTGGACCAAACGATAATAATTTTTTTTTGATGGCGTCTTAGGCGCCATCACATACTAAATTTGACCAGCCCATAGAAAACTCCTTGACATTTTTTTCTTCATAAGCAGAAGTTTCATAAGCAAACAACGCCGTTCACGACTCAAAAACTTCACAAACTTTTTACGGAAAAACTCAGTTTTTACTTTTGTCAAATTAATAAAACTTTTTCAGAACAATGTTTCCATTTGGCAAGCCTTCAGGAGTCCTGGAGTCATGCATCGCCTTCTTGGAAAGGGTTAGAAAATATTCTATTGAAATCAGAAAATTCAATTCTTTCAAAAAACACTAAATTAATCTGCTTTGCTGATTTTTAGATTATGAACGAAACGAACCCATTCGAAAATTCACGCGTAAGTTATCCAGCCATTTTTATACAAAAAAGGAAATAATGAAATAGTTAATTACTACTTTGTTTAAAATTAACTAATAGCTAATTTTAGTTACTATTTAATTAGTTGATTAACTAATTTTAGTCAAATAAAACGTTTTTCTATGAAAATATTTACATAGAAGAATCCTGTAATGACCTTTAGAAAGACCCTTATGCTCACGTAGTGGCCAATCGAGTGACCAGTCGAAGCCTGGCTGAGATCATCGAGATGTCACATGCGAATGGGAACTCCATAACTGCCCAGAAACAGAAACAACTCAAAAATAAGGCAACTACAGGCAAGTCAGGTGGGGGTAGGCATTCGTTTTTCTGGGAAAAAGTTGAAAATTATAAACAAATTGTTCCCTTATGGAAAACAAATTAATTGAACAGTTTTTGCAGTTTCATTTTCATTACAGAAACGGATAAATTAACTTTCTTTAAATTGCTGTTTTTTTTGCAAAAGTTATCATTGATTTTACTGAATCATCCAAGCCGTCTGCACTAGGAAGATGTTTCTCAACTACAAGTATGACCTTTGGGTAGTAAAGAACCCAGATGGAGACCAAAAAATGCGTAAAACTTGCGTTTACAATTCGCTAACTGAACAAACAGCGAAAATTCTCCCTTTGTTTTTCTATTTTTTCTTTTTCTTTCATCATTCCCGCAACATTTTAAAATATTTGAAGACGTGCCTTAGTTTCCAGAGACCTAAAAACACCAAATTTTGCAACTTTGGCAGCGTAATATTGTTCAAATTAGTTTTTTGAATTATCACATCACCAGTTTAAAAATTCTCCGCTGTCACATAGTACATTAACGTTTACTCAAAAGCAATATATGGCCATGTGAGTTTGCTGAAAAAAGCACTAGATTTCTAGAATTAGTTTTTAGCTGAGTTATCGAAAATTTATCGTATATTCTTGAAGCCTACATGCAACTTGATATACAACTGTGTATAAAGAACGCGTGTCTTGTAAGTAAGTACTACCAACTGACTAGCACAATTTACAAGAAATTTGCAAACATCTTCTTACCTATATCGATTAGATTTTCATTTCTGCTGAAATTTACTCAATTTTCAATCTGTGTTTCTGGTAAAAAAATCCTTATGCATTGAGGCTAAGCTCTACATTGGACCTGGATAAGCGCACAATTTAGTGTATTTAGGTCTCTGGATAATCAAGTCTTTATATCTATCGAAATTTGTCGGAACCCGACCAAAGAAAATGAAAGAACACATGAAGAACAAAGAAACCGTTCTTGTACCTACTTGTAATTCTTAAAAATAAAACGAAACTGCTCTTATCAGGGCGAAGCCCTGAATGTTCCGACTGCCTTTAAAGGTTTATGGAGCAATTAAATGAAATAAACAGTATGAATATTTTTTTTAAATTGAAATTTTTTATGAAAAGCATCCCCCAAACGCCATATAAAGTAAAAAAGAATAGATTTCGCTCTTTGAACAAATCAATTATGGCAAATTAGCTTCTTTCAACAAATTTAGAACGATTTCTAAGACGGATTAACTCTCCGCACACGTTAAAAGCGCAAAATAAATCGCAGATTAATTGTCCCAAATTGGCCAAAATGGCAATCTTTAAATCCCCGTAACTTTACAAAAACTGATCACAGGTGAAATATCTTTTCAAATTTGAGCTCAGGACAACAATACTTTTTGAATGATTTAAAAATGAGTAGTTAAAAAGTCGAAATTTGTCTGAAAAAAAGCCACCCCGAGCACAAATGTTCCGTTACTTTCGTATCGAAAGTCGGAACAACAATTTGGCTTCGTATTGTGAAATATTTCACAAAAGCATAGATTTTTATGATTAGTTACAAAGTCGAAGCCTTATAATGCAAATACATTACTATTAGCTTTAAAGTATAACTGCAATTCCGAATCAAATAGTTTTGTTTGTTTTTGAAAGAAAATAAAAGCTGAATTGTTTTTTTTGCAGGAAACACAAAAAAATAGCATAAACTAAATACAGCATATATCTTTTCGAACCAGCTGACAGTTTCTAATCAGACTTCTGGTACATAATTGCTCATCCAGAAGTCCATAATGAATAATAAAAGCGCTTTTGGGTCATACTATTTGTTAACTTTTTGTTCCGACCACCCTAAAGATTTTTTAAGGAACTACGGTTTAGCCTGTAGTTTGTATCCGCCCTTTTTTCAGTTTTTTAAGGAATGCTTGGAGGTGGCGAAGTGTGGTATAATATTCAAACCCTATTGGACGAAATCAGATTTCAAAAACCCAAAATTTTTTTTATCTCAGCGTGGGTAAAACCTCAAATTTTTTTTTCGTCATCTGCTGAGAAGTTAGTACAAAAAATACTAGATCAAAACTGGACTAAAAATACGATCCGTTTTGTTGAACAATTGTTTGAATTCCTTGTCGAACCCGGGACACATAGATGAAACATATGGGTTACAAGTTCTGAACTCTTATCTGCTCAATCCCCAGACTTGTGGGCTTATTCTCTAAACTATCTGACTTAATGCCCATATGCGCGGGTTGATTTCCGTTGAAAACCAGCTTTTTGTGCTGAGTAAATCAGTTGTATTTTGTAATACATCACCGTTTTTGATCAGGGAAACTTTCTTCCGCAGAAGGTCAAGGTTAGTCATCTGCAACTTGTGCACACTCAACATTCTTGTTTACAAACTACCTAAAAAGTTTTCAACCAACTGTTTAAAAACAAGGCTAGCTTAAAACTGTTTAAAAAATTGAGAAATAGAAAGCCCGATTACTCAAAGTTAAGTTGTATCCACAATGAGAAATCATTATTCGCAAGGATTAAGCATGAAAAATGGTGTCAAGTCTGGACAGTGTAATAAACAATGATTGAGTACTGTTCGTATGATAGGAAGGCCCAAAACTGCCTGATTTTCTCGCTCATTTTTTTTCCAATTTTTGGATACTGATTATGGATTGGCTTAAATAAGTTTCGGGCATTCAGTTTTTTCTGCATGAACGGTTCTCTACTTAAAAAGCACGAAATATAAATCTGCACCTTGTCAAACGCATCTTTGTTCTGCACAAATAAGGTTCTATGCACAACACTTTTTTGGGTGTAAAATTGGGGAAAAAATGGCGTTAATCGCGTAACATTCTATTTTTTTAGGAAGTGGCAAAAACCAATCAGACAGAGAAGGAATGATGACGCACATTGTGTTACTGATGGTGGAAACCTGTCTGACTAAAGCGGCTGCTGCCGATTTCAATCATCTATGCTCTTATAACTCAATTAGCGATGACACTGCAGGTAAATTGATTGGAGGTTCACCAACTATTTCTTTATTATTAACGAGGTTAGTGCGGATAACTACGAAAGTTCACGGAAGGTTCAGAACCCCAGGAGTTTATTGAAAAAATCTTCAGAAACTTTTTTCATGAAGTCGGAAATAACACATTTATAAAATGTTCAATTAATTTAAGCCATTATTTAATGTTTCTTTTAATTGTTTTCAAATAATTAGCAATTGGTTTACAAAAATGTGCAAAATTAGAAAAATTGTATCTAAAATAATGTTAAAAAACGAATGAAAACTAAGCTCGAATCAAGTTTTAGGCCACTGTATCTCGACGCTGGGACATTTTTTTCGAACATTTTGCTCTGTAATAGAAATCACGATTGAGAGGGCGGCTTTCATATGATGCCAAATTTTATCCCCTAAAAGTTTTTTCTAGATCGATTGTAAAATCATAGTTCTTTTCTTTCCCTTCGCGAGGTGGTCAGTATAAGAAAAATAATTGTTTTCATAAGTTGAGCTGATAATTCATCTCCAGTTTAATTGAGCTGCAGTTTCCTCTCCAAGTTAATTGATACAATTTGTCAGCAACCAACAAAATTTTATGTTTTTTGGCTTATTTTACCTCTATTTACCTCTATTTCAGCTAAATCTGTGACTGAGTCGATTGAAGAGTTCAAGCGGTTCTTCGGGAGGATCGCAGAGCACTTGCAGACAGTTGAGACATTCTTTGTGGAGGTCAGTTCAACCCGAAACGATTTGCTTTTTTTATGTTTTGACTGTCTCGACCCAAAACTGGTATTTTGTTTAATATTTGAGGCTACTGACTTTTTACTTTTGCGGGCATCTTGTTTTTTTTTTATTTGTAAAAAGTGTTCAATCATCATTACAAAACTTCATAAAAAGCAAAATTTTCCGATTTTGTCTCATATTTGTAGACAAAAATCTCTTGAGAAGCGAATTTTTTGCAGTAGAAAAAAGTATTTTAAGTAAGAAAAGTTTTTCATTCCATTGCCATTTCATTCATAGCATTTAAAAAATTGTGTAAAAACTACAGGGTGGATTTTTTTCTCTCTGGAGTTGTATGAGGAGATTTCCTTCATTTCATACAATTAGAGAGCTATTATTTATCAAAGTACAGTTTTCAGCGTCGTTTTTTGTTGCTTTATGTACTGTGTTTGTTTTTTAAACACAGTAAACCTGCATGAAAGCTGTCCAAAGGTTTGTGGATTGAAAAGGATATACACTTTCCTGTATTTGAAATCAAAGAAGGGCAAAACAATTTGGTTTCGTGAAAAAAGTTCTAAGTGGAACCTTATAAATGAAATGAGGAACAACAAAAGAATATCAACCAATAAAGAATGTCTCAGGAATTGTTTTAAAGATATCGTAGATGAGCCTACAAAATTTTAATTCTGTTCAATTACAAAGTCAGTTAACTTGGCAAAATTGTTTTACCACTAAGTTTTTATAACATACTCTTCATCCCGGTTACTTTGAAAATGTCTTCTTTTCGTTTCCTTAAATCATATGAACGCAAAAAACTTCTTCTTGTTTCGAATTAAATGAAACCCCTGGGTCCTTCTTCTATTCCAGCTTACGTTGCTTATGAGCTATCGCAACCAGTCAGCCATTTAATCAAGGAATGCTTAAAAACAAACTGTTTTCCTCATCAATTTAAACTAGCAAACATTAACCCTTTACATAAAAAGGGATGCACTGAAGATCCACTAAATTACAGACCAATATCAGTTTTTCCGGTCATGTCAAAAGTTTCTGATATTTTTTAAAAGTTAAATCACCTTAAATCTCAGTCAAAACAATAATCTTGCACGAATTTAATTCAGGTTCAGGAAAAGTATTCAAGCATGGAAGCTCTAGTATACTTGGCTAAAACAATTCCAGCTAAAACTAATGAAGATGAGTTTGTAGTGGCCGCACTACTAGACTTATCGAAAGCTTTTGATTCGAAAATCATCAATTTTTAATTCAGAAACTACAAAACATATGTTTCGAGAATTCTTCATTTGATCTTATAGAAAGCTACTTAACTGATAGGTATCAAAAGGTAGTAATAACAGATGCTGAATTCGATTGAATCGTAGTAAACAGAGGCCTGCCGCAATGGAACATTCTAGGGACTCTTCTTTGCAACCTATAAAATAACGACTTGAAAAACACCTCAGATTGCCAGATTTTACGGTATGCAGATGATACAATTTTACTGTCGGGTAGAAAAAATCTAGAACTTTATATTTGAAAACTTGAGAATTCAGCTAAAAATTTACTCGGTTACTTTTGCTTGCTTAATCTGAAAACTAACTTGTACAACTTTGAATTTATAGTATTTGGTAACGAAAAAAGATCAAAAAACGTGAGCACCGTATTGATGTCAGCTAATAAAGGAAAAAAAGAAATATATTATTTATTTATAATTAGTGAAAAAAATTTGACACACCAAGAACATTAATATTGAAAATGGCACAGGGTGTAAAAGAACTATATAATGTCAGAGGCTGTATACCCAACAAAATGAGATTCATGCTAATCAATGCCTTGGTCTTAAGTTATCTACAATATTTGGCATTGATCATTGGGACAAAAGATCAAAATCTTATCTCAACACTTGAAAAGCAAATAAGTTGGACCGTCAACGCCTGCCTTTATAAATGCAAAATTGGTTCCTCTTTGCATATTATCAATTAGATATCTTCTTGATTATAGAATATCAACATATAGTACACAAAAAATAACTCAGCAGAAACCCGCTGTCATTTCGGAAAATTTCTAAGCCTACCAAAATCGGAAATTTATTGCCATCCTCGAGCTGAGAAGCTCTTTTGCATCAAACGCTCTCACAGTAAGATTCTCGATAACAGTTTTATTAGGAAAGGCATGCTGCATCACAACAACATCCCATTCAAATCGTAAGACGAGTAGTACAACAACTAAGATAAGACCCGAAAAAATTTTCTTGATCAATTTAAGAAAGACCCAGGTAAATTAAGTTGGAAAGAGTTTAGGTTCATCTATTATACGTACAATTTTGCTGATATATAATATTAACTATACTAAAACTGTACACTGCCTGTTTTTGTGTCATTTGTATAAGTGTTACACAACAACGAAAAATTCAGTGTTTTTTTTTATAAAAAACAGCAAAGAAAAAACTGGAAACAGGATGTTTTCAAAACAAGTTTTTTTGAATCCTCTCTGGTTTCCCTAATATTTAGGCTATTGAAGCCATTCTCTTTGCAGTAGTCAGTGAAATTTTGCCGCTTTCTGATGATATTTTTCAAGAAACTTGATTGTTTTTTGTTCTCTTATGTTCGCGCTGTCTATCGATATTTCACTTCTTTTTGCGCTGAATAAACCTCTATCGTGTTGATTTAAAATATGCCTGATAAAATAAACAAAAATAAACTTTTCGAAATCTTTTCCTCAAAAACTGTTTGTTTTGGCAAAAAAATTTATCAGGACAATTTTTTTTTTTGGAATTTAAACAGCGTTTTCATGGTGCAACTGTTTTGCAAAATTTCGAAGTTATTGGGTCAAATCTTAAGGAGGGAAACAAAGTTAGTTTATGTAAGAATACTACAATTCACCGTGTTTCCGTCCTCAAACTTGAGCCAAATCAATAGAACCGTGTTAAGCGTAAAAATAAATTGCACAACCGAAAAGCTGGTTAAATTCAAACATTTATTGTAAAATCGATTTTTCGCTAAAGTTAACCATATTTAAGATAATGAATTTGAAAATTTGTTTGTAGTTGATTTCAAATCAGCATTATAGAGGATTATTCAGCACAAAAAATTTGGATAAACCGCGAAAACATCAAGTTTGCTGAAACATCAACAGAAATCGGCAAATGTTTACTGCCTACTGCAAACAGAATGGCTTCAATAGCCAGTGAGAAATCTGTAAAAAACGTGTTCACAAAACACATTGTATACATCAATTGTTTTCTTTCGTCGGGGAAGTGTTTTTCAAAACAATAATGAGGAATTAAAAAAGTCTTCAATATGAGTGAGAAATCTGTAAAAAACGTGTTCACAAAACACATTGTATACATCAATTGTTTTCTTTCGTCGAGGAAGTGTTTTTCAAAACAATAATGAGGAAGTCAAAAAAGTCGCAAAACATAATTATATGTGTTCTGTTGTGTTGGCAGAGTTTCAAGTCGTTCCCTGGCCAGCTGAATCTCTATCTGGAGACAGTGGTGTGTATGTTCTACAGCAGATTCAACTCCTTCATGCAGACCATGCCACTCGACTGCTGGCATCTATTCTCAGTCTACCAACAGATCAACACTTTCTTCATGCAAAGTCGTCAGTTGCAATTTCGAAATAAAATACACTCATGGGACATTAAAGTTGCAAATTTTTGTTTTCATTGAGCAAATCAATGAAATTTTTCTTCACGTTTTTGCCGTTTTTACTGCAATCATTAAAGATAGATGAAATACTTATTGGAAAGAGCCTAGCCGGGCTAAAAAATGGGAAATCTTGCGTTGAAGGTTATCGCGAAGCCCATCTGTCCACTGCATAGGCGCACAAAAAGGTTTCTGAAGGTCACTGGAATCTTTAAACATGTTCCAAATTGTAAGTGGATTCCACTTACATAATTTCCGTGTTTTCTCCGGACAAGTATTTGTAATGTAAACTTTTGTTTTGTCGTGGAATCCGCAACGAGCGTAAAGCTGGATGTTCAAGGTTCCGCAAAATGTAAGTGGATTCCGCAAATGTAAGTAGCTTCCATAGGTTTGTTTATTATACTGAAGTTTAATAGTTCCTGCAAAAGAGTTCCATAAATTGTTCCGAATTTTACAAATTTTGTTTCAGATTCCGCAAAATCGGCTAACTTTGAAACAAAGTTAGGCAAAATTTTTAAAAATATTTCTTTGTGGAATCCAAAACAGCAGAAAAGATCAAATGAAAAAACCTCGTAATAGCGTAGTGGGTCCAGTATATCACAACTAGTTTTCGAGGTGTTATTGTTGTAGAAACATCAATTTTTGGTCCCTTCGAAGCCGTTTTAAATAGTTAATTAGCATATGTCAAATTTTGATCCCTAAATCCTAATTATTTGCAGAGAAAACGACAAAAACGCGAAAAAAAAATCAGTTTATTTAATTGTTGAAATCAAAAAGTTGCCTCTTTTATGTTCCGCGACTGTATCATTACGTGGCAGTTTGAGATTTGAAACTTTTTCCTTGTCATATCGTTCCCAAATGACTACATGGGAAGATTCTCATATCAAAAGGAATTAGAATATTGGCCTCGTGAAATACGTGCCGCTTCGGCTTTACAAAAACTAATTCATTTCAGGGCTTGAATTTACAAAACCTACATAAAAATATCAACAAAGTACTCAAATGCAAATCATAGCAACCAAAACTGATTCATAACTACACTTTTTTGGACCAAGATGAAAACAATTGAGCCAGGATGCTTGCAAACAGATTTGAACTCTCATTACTGTCTAATCATACTAATCTAATTACATACTATGCGTCAATTCTAATTGGAAAGATTTCTAAGACGGATTAATATTCGGTTTACGCGTTAATAGTAAGAAAAACATCGCGGTTGAGATGTCCTATAATGGCCAAATTAGCATTCTTTAAACCCCGATAACTTCATGAAAAAACAATTAGGTTGAAATATCTGTTAAAAATTGAGCTCAGGTCTACAATCTTTTTGCATTATATAGAAAGCCTTAAGTTAAAAATTGCCGGTTGAAAGTTCGAAATTGGTCGGAAACCCCGCGGACAAATGTTTCGTCACTCTTTTCGTCCTTTCGAAAGTCGGACAAACAATGTAAAATAGTGAAAACAGGCCCTTAAATTGTCAAAAAGCCCTAGTTTCCAACAAGGATAGCTGGTTACTGTGCAAATACTGTCAATTAAAGACATAAGAAAATACAAACGAAAATTTTTCAAATTAGCTTTGATCACAGTTAGTTCGTCACAATAAAATAGAAAATTGGACAACAAGTTTGGTCAAAAATTGACAAGAAAATCAAAACAATTGCTAAACAAAATTGAAAAAAAAAACATTTAGGTTTTGAAATTTCAAAGTTTTTGGTAACCATAATTTTGCTGAAAAAATCCAAAAATACTCAGGAAAACAAGTTTTTACGTCTGAATTTAAAAATTATTAAACTAATGTATACCTGCTTGCTCGCCTTTATTTGCTCGAATTAGATAAAAAATCAAAAAAGTTTTTCTCAACACTGAGAAAATTTGTTCAAAACTTTTTAACATCGCTCGAATCACGACTCAAACGTCTTTTTTGTGATATATTTTTTGACCCATAACAAAAAGCTAAAACACACCCAAATACAAAATTCTTCCCCATTTTTCAAATGATCGGAACAAAAAATGAGCCAGTAAGTCAATAAATCATCGATCTAAAGTGGTAAAATGTATATAAAAATATATCTTAATACCAAAACGTTTACACCTGTTTTTCTCGACATGCAAGTTATTACGACTGAATAGGCTTCACTAAATTATATTTATTTTTAATCTTACTTCAACTTAATAGTAGCCCGGGTCGAGGTCGGGGGCTTATGTTTAATATTAAATTCTCATGTGCTTTTTTGTATTCTCCCGAGCCTAACTAAATTGTAAATCAGTATTTAGTTATAAGTTTCGCGGCTTTAAAAAAAGTTATTAATAACTTGTTGTAGGTCTTCTGTGTCGAGGTCGGTTCCATCGCCAATTGTGTGACCTGTTCGGCCCAGTGGTAATCAGATACATGGACACGACTGAGTCATCGATCGCACACTCATACACCAAAAACATACAGACAGAGAAATGGATTTCACAGGGGTATTTGAGTTTGGATTTCGGTTTAGACAAATCTATTTATATTTATTCAAATATATTTATACTCGGATACATATATTCATATATCAGTTAAATTACAAACTCTACACCAGGGATGATATACGGTCTCTTCGTTTATACAAACACGCTTTTAGTAGCATCCCTTCTAAATAGATTTCAGACCAGAAAGATTTCAGGTGGGGATGGGGGGGTTTAATTTGCTAGATTAGGGGCTAATAATGGAAAAGATCTATTTTTCGATGGGCTCAAACCGTTTCAGCCTTTCGGATTAGCCATAATAAGACAACAGATAAGAACAGATCCCAGAAAAAATCACAACAACAGACAACTTGCAATATTTAAGGAAAACGACAAGTCGCAACAATAAATAAGTATTTGAATATATATATATATATATGGATCCAGGGGCGATTTAGGGGGGGACGCTTCCCTTTCAGGGATTGGACCCCTCACCAACCAAAGGGCCCCCCTTGGGTATTATTTTATGACATCAATTTTCGGCCGAGCAACCCTAAAATTTTTCTAAAGGCGCCTTCGCCAATAAATACTTATGTTAAAGGGCAGCGCGCGCCAAAAAAACGCGATTTTTTATCGGTCAAAAATTTCCAAAAAGTGCCAAAAACGGCATTTTGACCTGTTTTTTTTTCAAAAAATTGCCTGCGGTGCAAATTTATTTGCCTAAATAGGGTCTTAATAGTGTTCTGGGAGCTCAGAAAATCAATTTGGTCGACCTAAAAACTAGGTCGACTAAAATTTTGGCAAGGAAAGATTTCTAGAATTTTAGAATTGCATGGGGCGAATTTAGGGCCCACTCTCTCCTCAGGAAATTGACCCCTTACCGCCTAATAAGTACTCCTTAGTACAGTTTAATGACATCTAACTTGCGTCAATTAATTCTTAAATATCTCCAATTAACAGAATTCTAGAGTAAATCAATATTTTATTTGGCACCAGTTCAAATATTATTTCAATTCGATTTACTTTGTGGCAAAGAATCTTTGTGTTCTCAATGTTTTAGGCTAATTGAGTGTACTCTCCCTTTTAGGTTGTGGTACCGTGTAGTACTGTTGCCAGAGTAACCTTGGATAAAGTGTTATTAATATTCTGTTATGAACTGTTAGTATTATCAAGGCCATCCATGCAGGCCAAACGTAACAGTCATTTGGACGGTTGCGATCGTAGAAGACACATGAACGTGATCTCTAACAAAACTAAGCAAATCTGAAAGACAGAATTAAATGTTTTCAATTATTCTCTTTTGCTCTTACCTACTCGTAGCATAGAAATATCACATGGCGCAGCCAGCAGGATTTCTGTCCCAGGACAATAGAACAGATATGGGAATCCCTGTATTTTGGACGACCGCGAATTCCGACCCTCCTTAGAATTTCAAGATCTGGCTAGACCAATTTTTTTTGGCAGTTACAGTAAAGGAGAGCGTGAATCCGGAACTATTGTTAGAAGAACCGAAAGAAGTGTTATTGGAACCGTTACCAAGACCAGAGATTCCACGAGAACATGAAAACGCTCAGGCGATTACAGAATGGGAAGCTCGAGACCAACTAGCCCGGGATAAGATTCTTCTGGAAAATGAAGAAAGAAAAACTAGAGGACCAAAGGTTGGACACAACGTATATTACAACGAGGTAGAGAAAAGAGTAGCCTCTAGATTATTCCTGGCGTTGGGGACAGAAGGAAAGAAGAAATTTGTACAAAAGAACCCGCATGTAGAAGTTTCAAAATTAGAATTCAAGCAGATGGTAGCGTTGGCCAAGACTTCATTTGATAAATCACAGAGTGTTGTGTATGAACGCTACAAGTTATTTCAAGCAGCCAGAGCAGAATTAGGGACACTAGAAGACGAACTAGTGCGTGACCTGTTCATATCGAAAATGAAAAATGTGGTATTACAAGATACACTAACGTTTGAAACATTTTCATCAGAGGAGGTATTGAAAAGGGCGTTGAAGTTTGAACAAAGTAAACAGACAACTCAGGCATTTCAGAAAACTAATGCAGCGACTGCAAGTACAGCTCAGGTAAATGGAACAATGAAGATAAAACAAGAACCAATTATGAGTATTGGAAATAAAAATGCTTACGGTAGGAGACAAACGAACAACATGTACAAGAAAAAATCATCAGACAGAAAAGAGGGGAAACATTTTACAGACACGAAAACGTGTACTCGATGTGGTCGACTGTTTGGGGAAGGACATTTGAAGAAATAACCGGCCATGGGCAAAACATGTAAAAATTGTTCTAAACCAAATCACTTTGCAAAATGTGTAAGTCACAGCAAGTAAATGAGATTGCGGAAAAATGATCCAGCTCAGATGAAGAGTGCAATTTAATTCAGTCATTTGACTCGTGTGAGGAGTTCGAAATTATGGCTATTGAATCAGAATTGTCTTCGATGGAAGAAATAGATGAGTATATAAAACAGCAATCAAATAGAAACCGAGATATCAAAAAGAGTAGCAAGGACATACAGAAGGTTGATATTCGCAGAAATACCCGATCAAAACAAATAAGTTCATTAAAAGCTTTGGTGAGAATAGATCATCAAATTATAAACATGACTATTGATACGGGCAGTCCTGTATCATTTTTGAATTGGGCGACTTCAAAGCAAATTCTGGAGTCTTCAAAAAACACGAGGTTCATTCCACGGGAAAATCTCAACTTGACTACAAAATTTGTAGACTATAACAAACAACCGATTAATATATTGGGTACAATCACCACGACCATCCGTTCAGCAGGGTGGGAGGTGGTGGGAGGATCGTTGTTAATCACAGAACGACGCACGCAATGTATTTTGGGGCTGGACTTACAGAGCAAAGTAGGGATACACACAACACAGAAGTTGGCACCGAAAGAAAAGACGAGATTTGACGTGATACTGTGCGAACAGTCAGAAGGTTGGAAAAACAAATTCTATAGTAAATTTAAAAACCTTTTTGGTCTTCAAGGGTGTTCGAAAAATCACGTTGTCAGCTCAAAGTTCAAATACCCACTTCGTCCATTACAAGAAAAAGAGAGACGCATCCCAATACACATACAAGGGAACGTGTATGAGGAAATGGAAAAACTGTTAAAAGAGGGGCATATAAAACGTCTAGACAAATGTACTAGTGATTGTTTTATAGCACCTATTGTAATAACAGTAAAAAAAGATGACTCCATAAAATTGGCATTAGATGCCAAACCCGTAAATAGACAGTTGTTCAAAAATAAATATCCAAATGCCGAATGTGGATGAGTTATTGGATGGGGTCAGCCAAATAATTACAGCAAATGAAAACGGTACACTGTATTTCTCAGTATTAGATTTGAAGTATGCCTACAGTCAACTTAAGCTGACTGCAGAGACAGCTAAACAGTGCAGTTTTAACATCATAGGTGGGCAAGCTACTGGAACATACAGATTTTTGACCGGATTTTACGGTCTGGCAGATATGCCAGCGGAGTTTCAAAAAGCTATGGACAGAACATTGAACCATGCGGAAAATACATTCTAGATACTCATTGTGTCTAAGGGAAGTGAACAAGAACATGAAAAATTGATCATGAATGTGCTGGAAAAGTTAGAAAAAGAAAACTTAGCACTAAAACTTTCGAAATGTGAATTCAACAGGAGGTGAATTGGTTGGGACATAAATTATCGTTGGAGGGTATTTCTCCAAAGATAACAAAAACGGAAGCGATTTTGAAGCTTAGTCCGCCAACTTCACTGAAACAACTCAGATCATTTCTGGGTAGTATAAATCATCTGGCCAAATTCATTCCAAACGCAGCTACGTTAACTGAAAAGTTGAGACCTCTGCTGCGAGAAGAAAATGAAAAAAAAAAACTCAAAAGTGTGAAAATTCAAGTAAAAAAAATTCGAATGGAAAGAAGAACATTCGGAGATATTCGAATTGATAAAAGCAGCGGTTGCGAATATAACAAAAATTCATTATTACGACCCTAAGTTACTTACTAGGTTAAAATGTGACGCCAGCCATAGTGGGCTGGGGGCATCGTTGGAACAACAAAACGGGGAGGGGGAGTGGATACCGATTGCATTCGCCTCCAGATATTTGAACACACAAGAAAAAAAATACTACACAAATGAACTAGAACTGCTAGCAGTAGTATGATCTGTTGACCGATTTAAACATTATTTGTTAGGAAAAGAATTCGTGATAGCCACGGATCATAAAGCACTGGTTTCTGCCTTGGATGAAAATAAGTCAAACAAAACCTACCAATCTAGGTTGACTAGATGGGTAGACAGATTACTACCCTATCAATTTAAGGTTATTCATTTACCAGGGAAAGATATGGGTATAGTAGATTACCTATCTAGAAACCCGAAGGGTGGACCATGGCCGGAGTCAGTATTGGATGAGAAATTTGTAGTCACATCGATTGAAAGTTTTCATAAAGCTCTTGACTGTTTAAACAGTCGACTGAGTGATCACGATAGGCTCGACCGGAACGAAAACGTTCTAGAATATTCTAGAATTGATCAAAATGTATCCAATCAGAACACGTCATCTACCCGTTGCTATGGCAACCAAAACGGTCCAAAACGGACAAAGCACGACCGGAACGAAAGAAATGAAGATTCACGTTCGTTTCAACGAGAAAAGTTTGAAAACTCAAAAATTAGAGTATCTCAAAATCGTCAACAAATACAGTCGGTCGAATCAGTTAAAAAAATCGGAAAGTTATCAAATCGTGAATCATAAAATATGCATTCAGGCGAAACAGCAAAGAAAGGAGAAAAGAAGATGATCAGAATTCAGGATCGGAATAACATAGACACATTAAGGGAGGAAATAACAGAAACGACGTTCCAAAGAACCAGAATGATACAAAGGACTCCAAACAAATCAGAATCAGAGAATTCGGACTTTGAACAAATACCACAAGCGAATTGGAACATGATGAACAGACAAATCAGAACAGACACGGGAAATAGTGGTCAGTCAACATCAACTGCTACAACCAATGTTAGTTTCATTTTGGGAACTAATAGGATCGGAAAAGAATGAGAAACCACGATCAATGATGGAATTAGAAGCCAATTCGGTGATGCAAAGCCCGAAACCACCGGGACAAACCCAATCAGGAGATGAAACTGAGATTGAACAAATCGTTGAGGTGGATTTAACGATGGACAGCATTGATCAACCGGATTACAGTTCAGGAACTGAGACTTGCATGGTCACACCGCAACAGAAAACGAGAGGTGGACATAATTCGCGGAAAAGCAATTACCAACTGTCGGAGCAGTTAAAGGAAACAAATGGGCCACTGTCACTCGAAAAATTATTCGACAAAAGTCTACTGGCGGAACTAGTATCAGAAAATACTTGGATGGATCGGCTCAGGCGAGTGGTGGAACGGAACGATAGACATGGATTCGAGCTAATGGGTACTCTGTGGCACCAGATGTCGGTAGTAGATGACTGCCTACTGGTGGACAATCAGTTAGCCGTACCAGAGAAGCTGAGACAAGCGGTGCTCCGACGACTTCATCAAGGACATCCTGGCCAAGAAGCAATGTTGGAGGTTTCCAATTACTTATGTTGGCCGCACATGCACAAATACATAGTCAATATGGCCGAAGAGTGTAGAAGTTGCACTCTTTATGGTAAGAATGCTAAATATATAATCCCAAAAAATTCGGCCAAACCACTTCCACTGTTGACACAGCCTGGTCAAGAATTACAATTAGACTATGCGGGTCCACTTGAAGACCATAAGGGAAAGAAGATATATTTGTTAGTTGCTATTGATAGATACTCAAAATTTCAGTCAAAGTTACGAAATCTACAGGGGGAAAATCAACAATAAAATTTCTACGTACCTACATTGACACACATGGTATACCAGAATTGATTAAAACGGATCAGTTTTCCGGGTTTAAAGGAAAAACAATGAAAAAATTTTGCACTGAAAATAATATTATTCAAAAATTCGGTCCAGTCGGTGATCATCGAGGATGTGGACTAGTCGAACGGACAATACAAACTATTAAACGAAGATTGGGAGTAATGCTACTCGAAGAAAAAGTACAATCTATTAACTTGTGCTTGAGCACAATAATTAGGGACCTAAGATGGAATAAACAGAAAACAATAAAGTTGACCCCGTTTGAAGCGCACTTCGGTCGATTACCAAAAACTGAGTTTAAAATTGTAAGGGATAAATTTCTGAAGGAATCTGATCGTTTAGATAAAGAACATTTGGAGAGATCGGCGTTAACAGCATCGCAGCTGAAGAGACGCATCGATCAATCCAGGGACAATGTAAAAATTATACGAAAAGGACAGAATAGCCGGGACGTCAGCCCACTATTTCTACGCAACACTGCGGCGGCCAAAGAAAGAGCTAGGGCAAAGGAACTAAAGCAGCTACTAGAGGCCAATGCGAGATGGAATGTCACTAGACGGGATATCTCAGATAGCGAACTACGAAGAATTGTAGATGAAACGAGCACGATAAACCCCGAACTGCGAAAGGAATTCCTATACTCATGGCAAAAAGGATTTATCGAAGACAAGCAGACTACATCGGATGATAGCTGGCCAGGAAGCTTCTTCCGAAAACATGAGCAAAGAAAGAGTGGAAAGGCCCTAACAATACCGCTGAAAGGCAAAACAGTGGCAAAGACACCGTCAACAATCAAAACGGCTGCTGGTGCAGTATATCGAAAGAGCGATATAGCGAGATCAAAACTGCATACACAGCCCAAAGCACAAAGCTCGGAGAAAAAGAGGAGCCCAACGGGGGAAGAACCTAGGAGCAAACAACAGAAGACAGTATCACATCATGAAGAAGTAGACAGTGAGTCGGCTGAAGAACATGATGCGAAAGACCACGGGCCAACCGATCAAGAATTAGAAGACAATCGACTAATGGATAAGTTTCAAAACTCGCCAAACGTTGTTACGTCGAAAGAAACAAAGACAAGCGGGGCATAAATCTAGGAGGAAAAAGGGTGAAGCCAAATAGGGCAGGACCACTAGTCCAGAGTGCAAGATCTGGAAAAACCAAGACGCAAGAGCCACGTACAACGAAGACTGTTAAAACAGCAAAAGAATCTAAGAAGCGGGATACGAGTAATGAAGCCGTCTACATAGAGTCGTCTGCACCGAAAGAAGCTCCAGTGAGTAAAAGGATCACACGGCAAACTAGTGAGAAGGAAATTCTGGACACACTCCAGAATAACAATATGACAACAAAAGAATGGGAAGAAATCACAAACCAGGTTTTGACCCGACGGGTACAAAACGAAGCAGAAAAACTACTGACTCAACAAGCGGAACCAGTTGACAAAAGCCCGGCAGTATTTGCGGACGAGTCGGACAAAGAAGAGGATACAACGACAGTCAGACGAAGCAGTCGACAAACAAAGAACCAGGGACCAAAGAGATACGGCAGCCCCGTATCACACTCTGTAAAGTTGATCAGTTGTGAGGACGATGTAACAGAGCTAAATCTGGCAGCACTTGAGGCCTACAGGATGAGACTGGCAAAGTTAAACATCAATAACAAAGAGACAACATTGGAGAACAACACGTTTGACTTACTAGAGAGACATTTGTTCAAAAGGAAATTCGGAGCTACATCGTTGGATGAGTCGGGATCGTGGAACGCTGCAAGAAACAAAGCGGAAGTGATGAAGAAAACAAACAAGGAAAACTGAGCTAAAATGAAAACAATTTAGTAAACTGAGACTTATATACTATTTATAAAATTTTATAAGGTCTTATATAAAATTTTGTGGTCCTCAGGGGAATGTGGTACCGTGTAGTACTGTTGCCACAGTAACCTTGGATAAAGTGTTATTAATATTCTGTTATGTATTGTTAGTATTATTCAAGGCCATCCATGCAGGCCAAACGTAACAGTCATTTGGACGGTTGCGATCGTAGAAGACACATGAACGTGATCTCTAACAAAACTAAGCAAATCTAAAAGACAGAATTAAATGTTTTCAATTATTCTCTTTTGCTCTTACCTACTCGTAGCATAGAAATATCACATAGGTCTAGCACCCACTCGAGTGAAGACGTGTTCTGGAAGGTGCGAGCACTGAAGAACTTCATCGATGATCTCAAGTGGCCGAATGAGGAGTTCAGCCAACATCTCTCCTTCCGAATGATGTTCCTAGGTAGTGCCATATTACAACGCAGGATGTAGGATTTTTGCTAGTAGGTGTTTTTATTTACTAGAAAAAAAAATTGTTGACACCGATAATTTCGTCGACCTTGATTGGACACTTTAGGACGGTTATGATGTAATAAATCATTTTTATGTAGCACCACATCTCCATCTCAAAATAAGCATACACGGGTGCTGTATTATATACCAACTATAATCTTTTTGATGAGTCCTAACAGCCGATGCTAACTTTGAATGCATGAATGAAAACCCCAAGTTTCTACAAAAAATGTCATTCGAAATTTCTTTGGTGTTTCCGGAATTTTTTTGAGCCATCTTATTGGAAGTTTTAGTCAAACTCTTTTCAGCAAAAAGGAAAGCAACTATGAATCACAAATCCCATCGACGAATTTTAAAGAGCCTATTTTTGTAGTGGTGATGTTTGTTTTACTAATTTGGCACAACTATTGGGTGCTTTTGGAGCAAAGTTTGATTTAACAAATCGTTAATCAAATACGTCATTTTGTTCAATTTTGTTTGATTACAAAACAAAATTTTGGCTTCGTAACATGGTTTTTTTATATTTCAGCGAGTAACGTAATTGACGCGGTTGTGAAGGATGCAGCTAAGGCGTTTCATCAGAAGTTGAATGCCATCCCGAAAACCAGAGCAGCCCTGCTGACTCCAGACTTGTGTGTCACTATCAATGTTTTGACCAGATCAGATGACATTGTTAGTTCAGTTTTTTAGGAAAACAAACAATTGAATTTATTCGTTTTGCCAAACTTTGTCATAACATAGCAAGCATTTCAGCAAAGTTTAGAAGTATCTGTTGATGATTATAGAAATATAGAAAATGAATATAGAAATTTCTTTGTTTTCACAGAAACTTCCGCTCTGGTAAAAAAAAATCAGGTAAAGATCTGAAGAAATATTTTTGGAGCGTATTTGGAGATACCGTTTTTGATTTCGAAAAATGGACTTTTATTTTATTTCAACTCAAAAATTGTGATCAATTTCAAATTTCATAATAAATGAACTGTTTTTCAGATAACCAGTCTACGACTTCAGAAATTTCTGGCAAAAACAGTTAGTTGAATAATTTTCTTAATTCAATTTCAAGAAAAATCTTCAGCTGGTTTTGTGAATTAATTAATCTGATCTTTTTACAGATGAAATCGCAACCTGTTGACACAAACAAAAACTGGGTATGTTTACTTAAAGTCGTTTATCATTAGGTCGTTAAAAGAAAGTCTTACAGAGGAAAAAAATATCACCACAAAAAATATTTGATAAATACGGGGAACTTGGTCGATAATTTTTGAAGCTGAATCAGGATATATAATAAATCATTCCGTCCCCCAACATGGTACATGGAAACGAATTTTTTACTTAATTCGCTTCTTTAAGTTTCTAATTAGTAAAAGCAAATTCAGTGTACCCTTTGAACTTTTTTTCGTAATTTGCCAATTTTTTTTTCGAATTACTTAAACACTTCCCGGGTTGACAAAAATGATTATCATACATTTTTCATATCTGAAAAAAATGATTATTATACTCTTTCATACAATTTCATAGACTAAAAGTTTATGTATGAAAATAGCAAAATAAGCATTTTTTCCATATATGAAATTGTATGATAAGAATTTTTTCCATACTATGAAATTGTATGACAAGCATTTTTTCCATAAATGAATATTCAAAAAATCTTTTGTTTCGAAATTTCGTGTTTCAACCGAAACACTAACCAAGGATTTATTGTCATGAGAAAACACAGAGAGTAACTGGCAGTTACCACGCAGATAAACTGCATTTGGTGGTTTCAGCTATAAAAGAAATATAGAAATATAGAACACTTTCACATAGAAATATATACCAAAAAAATAACTTTTTGAATATGGCTAGATAATTTTTAGTCTGAAAATTCTGATGGTTGAGAAAAAAAGGCCTGTTTTTTCACAAATTTATTTTTATTTTAGCAAATGAAACAAAAGATAATAATCGTGTTTACAAAAAAGCAATTTCATGTGATTTTTGGGTTTTTTGTGTGAGAAACTCATTCTGGACTACATTATAAACACGAAAATGTCAAATTTTGCAAGCAAATTTTTTTTCCGTAAAATTTATATTATAGCACAAAAGCCAATTTGCAGCCAAAAAAGGGATTAAAATTTTTTTACCTCAAATTTTTATTTTTGTTTATGAAAAAAATGCATATCATACAATTTTCATATATTTTGTATTGTGTTTTTTAAATACCGAAATTTAAATTGTGTTTTTGATTGTCAATATGCCCCCTATCATAGATATACTTATGTAAATCTATTTAAAAAGTTACCCAGACACGCTTTTTCGTGATTTTTGAAAAAAAAATTTCTATGACAAAATGCCTATTTTATAATTTTCATACATGAAAATTGTATGATAAGCATTTTTTATAAAAAATTTTAAATCAGTTTCATAATGACCAGAAAGCTTCAAAAGAGGCAATTAGACCAAAAATATTCATTAAAAACTTTTAAAACACTTTTTAAATGTTGTATGAATTTTCTATGATAAGCATTTTTTCCATAGACTTCATATATGAAACTGTATGATAAGCATTTTTCTTCTATGGACGTTAATCCTGGTTTTCATTGCAAAGAAAGCGCTGCATGGAGCTCCGAAAATTAGTTTTTTTTTTGGTGTAAAACTAGGGTTTTTCACAGCTGAAATACAATCTTTTTGTCCTATTAATGCACCTACTCGCTTTTTTTACTCTCTCGACTAAAATTTCCAAACGATTTCTCATTACACCGCGGAAAATTTTGGAAAACACGAATGAAAGGGTTTTAATATGATATATCAATCCAAAAATTCAAATTGCTGTTTGTAGTTTTCACTTCATAAAAAGTAAAAATTGTCCGAACAATTAGGTGTCAAAAATAATGTAAATCATATTCTTTCGCTGCGTACCACTACCCGAACAAAAAACAAACTTGGACAGCTTTTAAACAAAAAAGCATTATAACTTGTACTTCCAAGCT